TGCCGTGCTAGTTCAATATCACGATAGCCGGCAGCACGTCGTGGCGTATGCAAGTCGTACTTTGACTAAGGCGGAGAGGAATTATACGGTCACCGAACTGGAATGTCTTGCAGTTGCTTTCGCCGTCCAAAAGTTCAGACCTTATTTGTACGGCCGGCAGTTCAAGATCGTCACAGATCATCATTCGCTTTGTTGGCTTGTCGGACTACGTGACCCAGCTGGTCGGTTGGCTCGCTGGGCCTTACGGCTTCAAGAATATAATTATTCTGTGACCTACAAGAGCGGTCGATGTCACGCAGATGCCGACTGCTCATCTCGCCTTCCATCTCCAACTGTGGATGCTGATGATGATGATTTTGACAACTACCTGGCCGCAATCTCATCCAACTTCCCAAATTTGGATGTCTTTCGTCACGAACAACAGCGTGACCCTTCGCTGAAACCAATGATTGATGTGGCTCGTAGCTCTAAACGCGCCACGCCATTCGTGATTCATGACGCCCTACTATATCGCAAGAATTACTCCAGCCATGGTTCCACACTACTACTCGTCGTGCCAGAATGCCTGCGACTTGCGGTATTCCAAACCATGCACGATGACATCACGTCTGGGCACCTTGGATTTGCCCGAACGCTTCACCGTATCCGACAACGTTTTTACTGGCCTCGACTCTGGAAGACCACCAAGCACTACGTCGCAAGTTGTGATGTCTGCCAACGCCACAAACAACCTACCACACCATCGGCCGGCCCACTGCAGCCGGTTAAGCCACCGACATCACCATTCGAAAAAGTCGGCATAGATTTACTGGGCCCTTTCCCCCAAGTCTACCACCGGCCACCGCTGGATTATTGTGTGCGTAGATTACCTGACGCGGTATACTGAAACGATGGCGGTTGCTTCAGCCACATCATCTGATGTGTCATGGTTTCTTCTACACTCGATCATACTTCGTCACGGGGCCCCTCGTGTAATGATAAGTGATCGCGGCCGTCAGTTCACCGCTGACGTTGTCGAAGAGTTGCTACGGCTTTGTGGGTGTCAGTATCGCCATTCCACGCCATACCACCTTCAGACCAACGGCCTCACTGAGCGCACCAATCGTACCATCATCAACATGCTTTCAATGTACGTCGCAGCGGATCACAAGAACTGGGATGCCGTATTACCTTTTGTTACATACGCCTTTAATACCGCGAAACACGAAGTCACAGGTTATACGCCTTTCTTTCTTCTCTATGCTCGTCATCCGCAAAGTTTCCTTGACACCATACTTCCATTTTCGACGAACGAAAACGCCAGTGTCGCGCAGACTTTGTGTCGCGCCGAAGAAGCTCGTCGACTTGCTCGGCTCCGAACTCTTTCCGCCCACGCTCGCGCGAAAGACCGTTACGACGCAAAACACCCGCCCGTGACTTTCGCTACAGGTGATTTGGTCTGGTTGTGGACGCCTGTTCGAAAAAAGGGACTTTGCCAGAAGTTTCTTTCTAAGTACTCAGGACCGTTTGTCATTACTCAGTGCTTGAGTGACATCACTTACGCTGTCGCGAGAGTGACAGCTCAGAACCGGCGTTCGCGCAAGACGCAAATTGTGCACATTGCCCGATTGAAGCCCTACAACAACCGATCGCTTCTACTCGCTCGGTGAGCTTCGTCTGGCCCGGAGGGAAATGTAACGCGGACTGAAAGAGCGAGGAAGAAGAAGAGATCGGACGCGCTCGAGCGATGGTGATTCGGCAGTGACGGTAGAGCGCTGACATTTTTCATTGTAAATAAACCCATCACTTCCGTAACAATATGCTTGCCATGTACGCGTCAGACGAACACACTAATTGGAACCAAGTGCTCCATTTTGTCACGCACGCGTACAACTCAGCGCCAAAAACAATCACCGGCTTCTCTCCTTTCTTTCTCCTGTACAGACGTGAACCATCACGCTCCATGGACACCATTCTCCCTTACAGACCGAATGTTTCCGAAGCGACGCCTGTTTCCGAAGCAGCTGATTATGCCGAAGAGTGTCGTCAACTCGCTCACTCGTTTACCGCGCAAGACCAATGGCGCCAGAAAACTCACCACGATGCCTCTGCGTCTAGTGCCCACTATAACACAGGAATGTTGGTTTGGCTCTTGGTCCCATCTACTTCTCCCGGCCTTTCCCCAAAGCTTTCGTCGAAATACCGTGACCCCCTTCCGTGTGGAGCGACAAACATCTCCCGTCAACTATGAAGTTGAGCCCATCGATCCACCTTCGGACCGGCGCTGCCGTGGGCGTGAAACAGTTCACGTATCACACCTCAAACCGTGCTATGACCCCCCTGTCTTGTAATTTCCCTAGATCGCCAGGTTGGCTCCTTTCTGCGCGGGGAGTAATTGTAGCGGAGCATAGTGGCACCAGCTCTATGCCAGCGTGCTAGAAGACGTTGACGTCCGTGTGGCTCGTGCTTGCCGGGTTACTGTCTGAACCAGCTTGTTGCAGCTAACGCTTCTTGAATAATAACAAGTGTTTATACGTGAAGTGTTATACGTGAAGTGTTTATACGTTTATACGCACATATATTTCCTTGGCATTTTTGTCTGTTAGATCTCATTAATGTTTTGTCAAAACACAGAAAAACGAGCCTTGAAGTATACACTTCCTTCCTTAATTTATTACGAGGGTCTCGTACTGGCAGACTTGGTAACTTAAGTTGTATACGAGGGACTATTGGTAAGATGCAAGCTCGTAATAAGTTGAAGTGCTATGTGACGCCACAAAGGCTCACAAAGAGTGTGCCACACTCGCCGCCATGGCTACAGTTGGCGCTGACTGACACTCCCACGTTTAAATTCAAATATCTATACCCAATAAAGTGGCTGGAAGGATAGCCGCCGTGGTAGCTCAGTGGTAGAGCATCGAACGCGATATTAGAAGGTCGCAGGTTCGGTTCCTACCAGCGGTAAGTTATCATTGGATTGCTGAGTAACTCAGGGGGCGAATTGCAACTCATGATTACGGAGATAGACAAGGAGAGCAGAAAGGTGGATCTTAAAATTAATCTACAGAAAACGAAAGTAATGTACAACATCCTCGGAAGAGAGCAGCGCTTCGAGATATGTAATAGTGCACTTCAAGTTGTAAATGACTGTCTACTTAGGGCAGGTAATAACCGCGGAGCCGAACCACGAGATTGAAGTAACTAGAAAAATAATATTGGGATGGAGCATAATTGGCAAGCACTCTCAAATTATGACAGGTAGATTGTCACTATCCCTCAAGAGGAAGGTATATAACAGCTGTATCTTGCCGGTACTTAGCTACGGAGCAGAAACCTGGGGACTTACAAAGAGGGTTCAGTTTAAATTGAGGATGACGCAGCAAGCAATGGAAAGAAAAATGGTAGGTGTAACCTTAAGAGACGAAAAGAGAGCAGAGTGGATTAGGGAACAAACTGGGGTTAAATATATCATAGTTGAAATCAAGAAGAGGCCATGGGCCGGGCATGTAGCGCGTAGACAGGATAACCGCTGGTCAATAAGGGTAACTACCTGCATTTCCAGAGAAGGTAAGCGAGTTAGGGGGACACAAAAGGTTAGGTGGGCAGATGAGATTAATAAGTTTGTGGGTATAAATTTGCAGCAGCAAGCACAGGACCGAGTTAATTGGCGGAACATGGGAGAGGCCTTTGTCCTGCATTACACGTAGTCAGGCTGATGATGATGATGAGGTGAGAGGGGAGGCAAACAATGAAAACAAAAAAAACGCAATGCCATTTTTTTATTTTTCCCTTCAAATGGGCATAATTTTAAATATGTCAAAGCTAACTATAAGCTTTCTTTGCGGTGTATCTCACACCTGGCTAAATGGTTGACGGCCTCACTTTTTCGGTTGAGTGCCATAAATGGGAAGGGGGCATATCCAGGCATCTGCTATCAAAACTTGTGTTCAGTTTAGCGTGTTCTTTAGTTCGGTGCACTTCCAGGTCAACGAGGCATCGCTCACTTTTCAGTGGTGGCTTCGTGCGTAGCTTCAGTATTTTACTTATTTTTAAAGACGATAGTCTTTCTTGGGGACCTTCGGCGCAAAAATTTTGGTCGGTTTGTCTGTCTGTACATTTGTCTGTTTGTCCACTTTTTAATGGCACTGGATATTTGAAACGGTCGACCCCATGCGCAGCGCCCACCAGTGTTGCTCAAGGTTTAGCGTTCATACTTGTGCAATGGTCAAATAAAAAACAATTATTGCACATGTCTGGGACACCATAACAACACGTATATATTCTGCATGTGCGCCTTTTACTAGAAAAGGCATGCATAAGAAATTTCAAGGAACGTAGCACTTATCACGCTGCGCTGAAGCACTTATCAGGAACGTAGCACTTATCACGCTGCGCTGAAAAAACGTGATTTCGCGCCATGTAGGGCGAATGCGTGACTTCGCTAGCGCTTCCGGTTGTGACGTCATATTTTACTAATTTTTTTGTTTGCTGTAAGTTGTCCCCTTTTCACGTAGATGGCGATGGGGGAAACGAGCTTCAGACTCTTGGATTCATGGGCTTCTATGGAAGTTACACTACCAATTTACATATACCTTGAATTGGCTTCGAGATAGTTCCAAATCGTTTGCCGAATGATAGCTGTTTTGGAAGGCGGATGAATCTCGAATGTTATATGGCGACTCAAAATTGAGCGCGGGTGAGCACAACAGGCATTCCTGTTCATCGACGGCGTTCGTGCACGTTGTCTGCTGTCGCCGCAGCAGAGTTGCAGTTTTTCTTTAGCAAGCGCAAGACAGCTTAATGAACGGTTTCCTTTTCTATTCTTTTACGAGCCTTTCAGTCTTCTACCTTTCAGGCTGCCGACACCATGACAATACGTGCTGATCGAGTCAACAAATCCTTTTACCGGACCTCGTCTTATTACTTTGAGGAAAGACAGCGCATTTATCATTTGCTTTCATTTAATGGAAGCTTGTTTACTGCGCGAAAATTACTGGCCACGTTTGTCAATACATCCTCACCATAGAGTTTTGGTGCCGATGATCAGAAGAATGCGGAGAGCAATCCTGTAATGAAGGTTGCAGTTCTCAACAGCAGCTGCAATGATCATGCCAGCCAGGTACATCATGATGGCATCCTGTAAACAAAGTTTACAAAGAAATATCACTTAGACTAAAGGTTTGATATGCAAGAGGGCGCTCCATCCTTAAGCACGAGAATTCTTATAGTTGGGCGAGTTAGTTCACGAACATCGTGACCGAACAGCGCAAAATACGGGCAGTCAAGTACATTGTTGTCACATACTTCCAAACCTGTTGCGTATAATCTAGTTGCTTGTTTTTCCAGTTTTTTTCTCTTTGTTCTTATAGTCAGGAGTTATCGTACCATCCACTGAATTATGGTATTGTTATGCCGTCTCTTTGCCCCAGACTGCTCTCTCACGAAAGCTGCCTTTCTAATAGTAACTATTAGAGCTCTAAAACCCGAAACCGTGATATTGCTACGTAGCTGAAATATCAAAGATCAGGCATTTTGAGTTCAGAAGACGACAGAGAAGACTGGTCTATCCACTCTGTGTGCTGTCCTTCAAATGAGTTGATGCTACACCCGTCAGCGCAAATACAACTTGTAAATAGCTAGGCCTCTTTTCATTTTTATGCAACATCTTTGTGAGGGAGGTGCGACGTGATAACGTTATAATATGATTAAGAGATGCCACATAATAAGCCTTGGCAAATTTAGACCATTTGAGACTCTTAGACGAGCGCCTAAATTCCAAGTAGATAGGTCTCTGGCATGTTGTCTCCGTAGAAATGCAGCCGCCAGACAGGATTTGATCCCGTGACTTTAGGGTCACCAGTCAAGGAGCTTAATCACTAGACCAACGGGGCAGATAAGATAGATATGTGCGGTTTAACGTCCCAAAACCACCATATCATTATGAGAGACGCCGTGGTGGAGGGATCCGGAAATTTTGACCACCTGGGGTTCTTTAACGTGCACCCAAATCTGAGCACACGGGCCTACAACATTTCCGCCTAACGGGGCGGATAAAGCTTTTTTTTTTTTTTTAGTGCGTTGTTTTAGGTCTGTAAACTTTACCTCAACAGATAATTTTGCCAGCCGGCCAAGCCTACTGATAGCATTCGTGGTCCTTTCTTATTGTGCTCTTGTCATTCTGGCTTTGCCTTTTTATTGAAAAATATATAAGATGAGCCGATAGCGCTGTGTCCTGTGAAGATATCCTGTAGTTATCGCTGTTCAGCCATAACTGTCAGTTGTTACATTGCAGATAGACTGCGTCGTTGCTACAAACGATATGTGCCCATTTTCATACTGTGCCCGTCAGTATAGGCTCGTTCAAACACGGTCTTCTGGACGGACAAAACCGAACCTGAACGGCAACCTTTCGAAACTATAGCCCCAAAATTTTCTTCATCCCTGTGTGGTGGTGATGTGGACTTCGACCATGTCCTGCATGTAGGGCTGCGCCTCTGCCGGTTGCCCTTTCCACTAAGAGGAAATGATGACGCTCATTAAGGCCCAGCACATGGCCTCTCATGTCCTGGCCGTCCCGGAGGCCTGCACGAGGACGGTCAGGTTTAACCTGACTGTATCCAAGTAAGCCTAACCAGGCGACGTTGACTTTATACTCGCGTCTATTTTGTACCAAACAAAGTTGTTTCACTCACCTCACTCACTCACTGAACAAATGGATCAATAAATAAATAAATTTGTACTTTGCCACGTAGAACTAACAGGAAACAACCGACCCTAACATCTGTCGGTTATTTTGACAAGTTAGCTTTATGACACAGGTGAAGTTCTTTTGCTCTATAGCAGAGAATTTGCTCGCCATCACAGAAGCTACAAAAAGGCACCATGATATATGTTAAATTCAATAATAACAGACAACCACAGAGAATTCGTATATCAAAAACTAACAGAGAGAGAGAAAAAGATACATAAGATAGGGAGGTTACAAAGAGGAAGAGTCCAGTTTGTTACCCTGTTCTTTGAAAAGGGAAACCACAAGCAACACTGAGCACTGGAGATTCAAGAAAAAGGATGAGAAAAAAAATGCAAAGTGCTGGAGTAATAATTACATAAGCTTCTGGTTGGTAGCGCAGGGAAAACGGTAAAGTGAACAGAAAGATTGAAAAGAAGCGACATATAACGAGAGGGAGAGTAATCAAGCTATAATTTGCATGCGCTGAAGTGGCAACACACGGTCGATGGCGATCAAAGGCGCCTATAGTCTTCCCGAAAGAGCACGAAAAGTGTACATGATATGGCGGGCAAAAGAATGCTCGGATTGGGGTTATACTGTGGCTCTCGAAAGATAGTCGCTGCTGAACGAGCATACCTGTCAGCGATTCGCAAGACAAAAGATGCGTTCTTTTGCGATGACCTTCCGAAACTTTTAATCAATAACTCAAAGAAATTCTGGCAGGTGATAAATCCTCAGAAAAGGCACAGTGTAACACTTACTAATGAAGAAGGCGAAACGTCCGACGATATAGAATGCGCGAACCTTTTTAATGCAGCCTTTGTGTCTGTATTTACAGAAGAGTTCACCACGCCCCCTCTTTTTTCGCGTACCAATGCGACAAGTCATATGCCGACCATTACATTTTTTCCAGATGGCATCTCATCGTTAATCGACAATGTTGAACTCACATCGTCAGCCGGCGTGGATAACACTAATTCGAAACTGTTAAAGAATAAAGAATACTAAACATGTCACCGTGGTTTTCCTGTGTTTGCTCTTCTCGCAGTCACTTTCAACTGGTGAAATGCCATATGACTGGAAGGTGAGAATGGTTCACTGTAAACAGAAATAAGCCGAAATGGGAGTGAATGACCTTGTCCTCTAGCGCACACCCAGATGGGAGCTTTAAAAAACCCGTCTCTGGGAGTAAAAAATTTACTCCCCATCAGAAGGGGGTTTTCACATGGTGTCAGGGGGGTTTTTATTTACATCCATAGGGGAACTTTTTCAGGTCAGTATGGGAGTAAATTTTTTGCATCGACCGAGAAAAAAAATTACGTCAGCCGCCGTACCATGCGCAAGCGTAACTTTAATTACATTACATTTAATACGCACAACAATGATTACAGTACACAAACATTATCACAACGTTAACGTAATATCACAACACTCGCACTCACCACAGCTTGCCACACGCAGTACACACCTACCATATAGTCACCGAGTATATATAGGCACCACATTCTGACCTCCTGTAGCCCAGGTGAAAGCCTTTTTTTTTTCTAATAATTAAGCAATAAATACGCATGGCGTAAGTATGAACTTGCGGTGGTCTGATGTAAGCACTTCAACACACATGCCTTTTATCCTAATCCTGCCTAATATTTAATATTTTTTTACTATAACGAAAAAGTTTTATCAGTTGACGCTCTGTCGTACAGGCTGAATTCGCATCAGCAGTGCTGTTTGTGGACCCGTAAAATGCACTGAATCATACACAAAGTGCGCGCGGCCTTGAATGAACGCATTAACGAGGCACATTCAGCAGCTCCAGCGATGAACCGAGGTAGACCGCCGCTACCGCGTTCGACGACTAGGCCTCACTCACGAGTACGGCACGGTGATTCGATGAATGACAGCTGGCGATCACAAAATGCTTGCTGATGTGCAGTTTACGTCTCGTTTTTCCCATGCACAGAAATAGGTGTCCGCTACCCACGCAGTTTAAGCTACGGAGCGATAGGCTTAAACGAATAAGACGTTTCGCAGTCGCTGTTCCCGTTGCTCGCATGCATTGCATGTATAGCTCGCAGAGCTCGCCACGGCGGCCGGTGCGCAGTGCGAGCTCGATACGATGCCGGCTTGATACCGACGCCATAGCGAGGCCTTCCTACCGCTTAGATGTTGCAGCCGGTGAAATACCGGTGACACTCCGAGAAGCCACTATCGGAGGAGACGGGGCGAGCGCGTCGCCGGCGCAACTCTCAGACCGGTTGCCGGCCAGCCTGCCGTAGTCGAGCGAAGCCTACTTCGAACCGCTTCGAAGTTTTACGGTGCGATCGCTGACGATCGTACTCCGCCTCGTTCGGCGCTCGCCTTGTAGTTAGTCATTGACAGCTGCGGTCGCAAGGTGCAGAAGACTTTTATACATCCCAGCAGCCTTCATTTTTTGTGAAACACATCCTTTGCATCGCCGGTGGTCGGTGCTAGCTCGTAGCGCTTGCCGCGGTGGCCAGCGCACAGTGCGAGTTCAATACGATGCCGGCTTGATACCGACGGCATAGCGAGGCCTTCTTAACACTTAGATGTTACAGCCGGTGAAATACCGGTGACACTCCGAGAAGCCACTATCGGCGGAGACAGGGGCGAGCGCGTCGCCGGCGCAACTCTCAGACCGGTTGCCGTAGTCGAGCGAAGCCTACTTCAGACCACTTCGAAGTTTCTGATGGTGAAACTCCAGGAGCAGCCGCTGACGATCGTAACAGCTTACTTTTGCTACCATTAATTTATTCTTCGAAGTTTTTTGTTACTCGGCCCTTTGAAGCGTGGAATTCAGGATGTTTCGTCGAGGAATCGGACCGATGTGCAGCGTGGTTTAAGGTGCGAAATATATTGAAATGTTCCCAGTAAATGCCAACCGGTCGTTGCTATTCTTCGCTTCACTTATAATTTCGTTGCCTGTTGACAGATGCTTACACGGTTAGCCACACAAATCACATGTGTTTCACACCGACGTGCAAACATATGCCCGTACAGACACATACACACACACGCACACGCACACACACACACACGTCACGCCCAAAGAGGGTTTTTAAAGCTTCTATAGGGAGTTTGTAACCACGTGACCTGAAACTCCCTGGGGAGTTTAACAAGGTCATGTCGTTCATAAACTCTGTGATTACGGAGGGGGCGTTTTACGATGACATGTGCCGAGTTCACTCCCTACCAGGGAGTAAATAATTGGGGCAGGGGAGTTTTGTGGGCTCATGTGCTGGAGAAACTCCCATTTCGGCTAACTTTTGTTTACAGTGTTGTTCCAATCCACAAAGCAGGTGACAGGAATTGCCCGCTTAATTATCGCCCCATTTCATTAACAAGTGTGCCCTGTAAGCTCATGGAACACGTCATGTACACAGAAATTATGAAATTTCTTGACTCGAACAAATACTTTCATTCTTCACTGCATGGGTTCCACAAAGGCTTTTCCTGCGAAACACAAGTGGCCATTTTCCTGCATGATATTCATACCAACTTAGATTCTAACCTCCAGACAGACGCGATATTTCTAGATTTCGCAAAAGCGTTCGACAAGGTACCACACCAACGTCTATTACTAAATCTTTCTCTTGCGAACATTAACCGTGACATTTTGCGATGGATTGAAGCGTTCTTGACAAACCGATCTCAGTTCGTTACAGTTAACAATTGCGCATCTAGCCCTCCACCAGTGACCTCCGGCGTACCGCAAGGATCTGTTCTCGGACCTTTACTCTTCCTAACCTGCCTATGCACGTGTCTTGCAACGTTCGTTTGTTCGCAGACGACTGCGTCATTTATCGAACAATTACTAACACATCGAATCAAGACTTACTTCAGGAGGACATCAACTGTCTACAGCAATGGTGCGACCGTTGGTTAATGGAACTTAATCCATAAGAAATGCAAACTGATGGTATTTTCTCGTCGGCACGACCCATTTCCTTACACATACACAATCAGGAACATTCCCATGTCTTCTGCGCAGTCTTACAAGTACCTAGGTGTTACTATATCGAACGACCTGTCCTGGCGCACACACGTCACTGACATCATTTCTTCTGCTAACAAATCACTTGATTTTCTCAAGCGTTATCTGAAATGCGCCCCCAAACCGGTTAAACTACTGGCCTACCAGTCAATAGTCCGTCCGAAACTGGAATATGCATCTGGCATATGGAATCCTCACCAAAAATATCTCATCAACGCACTCGAAGCCGTTCGAAATCGTGCCGCAAGGTTCATTCATTCTAATCATTCATATGACACGAGCATATCTTACTTAACGAAAGAATTGAATTTGCTTCCGCTTAGTACCATCGACGGGGACATAAAAAGTGAAATTATAGTTTGTATTATTTACTGTACTAGTGCTGACGTATTATTTATTGTACTTGTGCTGACGCGTATGTAACACCTTAGCCCGTGTATGTTTCTGTATTTTTCTCGTGTTCAGTTACATGTTATGCAAATTATGTACTTTAGCGCATGTATTTTTCTTTTTTATTGTGTTTAGTTATGCATTAAGCAAATTATGTACTAATGTCTTCCCACCCCTTATGTAATACCCCTTTTAAGGGGTCTTTAAGGTAGTAAAATGAAATGAAATAGTCAAGATTGATACGTGGGACTGAACGTCCCAAAACCACCATACGGCTATGAGATACGCAAATATAGTCAGGAAGTCGGGGCCTTTATTACATTCTTCCAACAAGCTGCGCGCAGGACGGGACAAAAAAAAAAAAATAGAGATGAACGGGCACAGTTTGTCGGATGATTATCCCGCGCCGACTCGCCCAAATTTCAACGCCTTATTTCATTACATCTATAGAACGTGCGTATATGCGCTAGCTGTACACTGGTGCCTTACCTTCATGTATGGTGCGGTTGCGCTTGCGGTGTCGAGGACGCCGAACAAAGGAAACAGGCAGACGGGCAGCAGTGACGTCACGGAGAGGTGCACCACTTCGAACATCCAGTATACGGCCATGAGAAGGATGACGTAGGCACATCTCGTCTCCTGCAAAACGAAAGCAATGGGGGCTGTCATTACGCACGCCCGAAAAAAACGGAGTGATAGAACTGCAGAATGTAGTGTGTTCCCAGACTTGCGAAAAAAAAAGCTATAGTTTCGCGATCATAGCAAGAGACGTCGAGTTGAGCAATTATTGATGTAGTGTGGACAGGCGACAAGCGCTAATTGAATATGTCTTGATGGTGATTGATGTGCGCTAAAAACAGGACGACAAGATGAAACGCATATAGACAAAAAAAAAAGCGCTTCGTCTGTTTACCTTTGTTCCCTCTTGCGTTCCTTTTGTGCGCATCTGTCCCCATCATCAAGATGAATCACCAGCAAGCCCAAGTGTATGTAAATCCTCCTGAAGGCTACAGTTGATAAAATCACGCATTCTACAAATCGCCGCTTCACAGCATTGCCATACGTATTGCCAGACAAACTGCCAATCTACAAGATCGAAGTCGTGGGTTTGATTCCCGGCCACGGCGATCACGATTCGGTGGGCACAAAATACAAAAACGCCAGTGTCCCTAAATTTAGGTGTATAGTATTCATGTATTGGAATGCCATAGTGTGAGTGCACAGCATGCAATGAGCGCTATCGCATCGAGATCTAGCAGTGGCACCCTCTTGCGTGTGACGTCAATTTGAGGATTCTACTTTCAACCGCGCTGAAGCCATCGCAGCTCCTGTAAGCAGATCACCTTGCGAGGGTCGATGACCACATTCAACAACTGTTTTAGAGTGCCATTATAATCTTATTCTGGTTGCGGCCCAATTTACAGGGCCAGAAAATCCCCTGAATGGCCGACAAGTGCGCCGAAGCCACCGACCGTATCGGGGGTTATCAAGTTAAACTCTGCGTCTGCGTGCTCTTGCTCGTTATGATACTTTCCGTCATACGGTACTATAGTTTGACCAGGTGTTTTTTTTCTTCGTGTTTCAGTAATTGTGCCTTTCTCCTGCACCTACAAGTATGCAGATAACGCTTGTGAAACGTCGCGGTGCCTCATGGAAAACGAGGTTGTGAACGACGCAGGCCACGTTGGTGAATGCGCCGTAGAGGCTGCCAACGGAGCCCGCTTCACCATCACGGCTCTCGTCCTGCAAACAAGTGGACTTTCGAACCCGCCACACAACGTCACCGTCGTGATCGACTGCGGGGAAGTCGCGAATGCTCGCTGTTCGTGCAAATCAGGATGAGGCAATGTCTACGCGTAGAACTTAACATGCGTGAAGCAGGTTGAGGCAATGCCTACGTGTAACTTACATAGAAGTTATGTTCACTGTTGGTCTGCAGTTGCTGTCGGGCTCATATGACATTTTGCATTGTGTTAATGTTTCTAAATACGGAACCTACTTACAACTCCGAACTAGTTTAAATAATAATGTCGCCACCATTCTTAGAATAATCATGAAACATTTAAGTGTGGCGCCACAAATATCTATTTTTTCCGTTAATTAAAAAAGACCATAAATATTTTAAAGCTTTGAAATTTGTACTGCGATTACAGCATATGACTGCAGGTTGGAGAGGTGGAGTATAACTTCACAATTTCACAACGCCAATAAAATTGCAATGTAATGTAGTTAGCATAATCGATGCGCGCCTTTTAACGTTTAACATTGCACAGCACTCGCCGCGGAGAAAAAACAGCCTCACGTAGTTTTAAAAAACATAGCGCTGTGCTTTCAAAATGACTTAAAAACGGAGACGCGCAGTCGATTTAACAGCGTTGGTAGCCAACACACATCAGATAAGAAACGATTGAACTGGTTCATTGTCGAGCTTTGTCACGCACGATGGTTTCTACACAGTGCCAGGCCTCAAAACGAAAGCGCGCGAATCCCCAAATTGACGTCATACAAACACCGTTCGCAGCGCCGCCATCGGTCGCACACCGAGTCAATAACTGTGCGTGCACGCACAGCTACAGCACTCCTCGGCGTCCATGATTCTTTGTTATTATTTTTTTGCACCGTAACTCTGCATTTCAAAGCGATTCGACTCGATACCGAACACTCTGGTAATGTGCAGTTCACTTTTAACAATTCACATTGCAATAGAACGTTCGCATGCAGGCATTTCCATTGACAAGTTTTGCAGAACCTATGGCCATTTGAGAAATTTGTTATAATCGACTGTATTTAGATGCGCGATATTTACATGAATTGATGCCAAAAATCTTGGGATAACTGAAAACAAGGTAACATAAGGTTTTTGTGAATTTTTCTGCAACAAATTGAGGTTACAGCCTAAACAATTATGTGTTGCACTGTCTTACGTGCTTGTAAAATTAGTGCAGGGTTTGTGGTCTCTTCCGTGCACAGAAATGAAAAAAAAAGTGAGACGCATACCCAAATTAGGTTACCGTGTCACAGAGGGCCCAAAATTAAATAGCCGAGGTGGCATAAAATCACTAGTGATCAGCCTCTCCAATGCGAGCCAGTCAGAACCGAACAGAACGTGGAACAGGGCATTGTAATAGTTTACGCACTCGGAGAACGGAATGCTCGAATGAACTTGCCTTCGAATCGTGCAGTATGAGCAGAGGCGAGAGAAGCACGGGCGCCAGGAGTGCCAGGATTCGCCGCCAGTAGCAGCGCAGGAACCAGAGAACGCGCTTGGTAGCCGTCAGGTGGTCGCCACGTTTTCCCGCCATGACGTTTGACGGCGTCTCACTGCCGGACGATGACAATCTACGATGAACGGTTTCGCTATCTTCGTCGGACGCACCGTCTCGAGCGCGGACGATCTGCGCCGGCGTCGTCACGGAAAGCCTCAGGCACTCGCCCCCGAGACCTCTCGTCTGCTCGGCGTCATCACGCTGATTCGCTCGGCTGTACCACGGCCGTCCGATACGCAGGCGACGCTGCACGTAGGAGAACATGGTAAACTGTTGCTTGGTCGGTAGCGAAACGTTTCCGACTGTGCCTTCTAACGCGAGCTGTTTTTTTACGAGTCGGCAAGACGCACTTCGTACGACGCTGCTTCAAACCCCGCGAAAACGACGCCAAACTGTGGAGCACTTCTCTGCGACCTCAAGCATTGGAACGTCAAAAATAACGACAAATGACGTCTTTTTTCGGCGCACGTCTCACGCGAGGCCTAACCCGATCCTTCATCGTCCAGTCTCAAAAGTGACAAGCGCGTGCCACTGGAACGTTGCACAACCGACAGTTCCACATTCTTAAATCACTGTACAAGCGACACAACGACTTCGGATAAAACGTTAGTCGTATAGCGGCCAGCTTCCACGACAGCCGTAGTGGGTGTGCGTAAGATCGCGCGTAAATGTTAGGAAACGGGCCGTCTTTCCAGGGCAAGCGGCTTTCGATGGCAAGGCGAGCCACTGCTGCAGACGGGTCGCGAGTGCAGCATTCCGGTCACGTGTTCCCCGCGTTCGACGCTGGCATGTACAGGTATAGAAACGAGCGAGGCAGTTGCCCCCGGCCGCACGCCTGCGACTTCCTTGACAGATTACTGCCGTCCGGTACTTGTAATTGTGGCGGCAACGCCCGTTGCCTTCTCGCTACTTTTCTTTCGCGTAAATAATTATCTGCAATCACGTGGTTTTCTACATATGCACGGTTAGCCAAGGAAAAGGCAGCGGGAGGGAGTAAGTTACGCATCACGAAGCAAAAAAAAAAAAAAACAACAAAAAAGGCTGGGGGGGAGAGTGCAGAGTAGACAAGAAGAGCACATGACACAACTCAGTTCGGCTCCTTGGCGAAACCGATTGATTGATATGCGGGGTTTAACGTCCCAAAACCACCATATGATTATGAAAGACGCCGTAGTGGAGGGCTCCGGAAATTTCGACCACCTGGGGTTCTTTTAATGTGCACCCAAATCTGAGCGCAAGGGCCTACAACATTTCCGCCTCCATCGGAAATACAGCCGCGGCTGCCGGGATTTGATCCCGCGACCTGCGTGTCAGCAGCCGAGTACCTTAGCCACTAGACCACCACGGCGGGGCTTGGCGAAATTGAAGAACAATTGTGCTTGTGTTCTCTTTCTGCCTAACTCACCGAACGATCTTAGCAATAAATGCTTCAAAATTTAATGCACTGACGTTACAACGCAGTCTTGGGTGTAAGAAAGAGCGACTATAGCGGCAGCTCTTTATTTAGAGGGAAAGAAAACAGTATTCAGAAGCGTTAGACTGAAAGTTTTATGCTTATCGACAATTTTTGTTTATTTTTTGTTTACAATAAAACAAAGCGATTGTTCCAGTTATTTTGCCGCGTAATGCTTGCCATCGCTTGAAATCAGATGAACCAAAGAAAAGCGGAAGCAGAAGTTGTAACAGATAAATAGGATTCCCGTCAAAACGATGACATGATAACTTTCCTTCACGCGCATCTATGACAAGACAGAAATCATGAACCTATATTTCCTTCCATGAGTCAGCCGCACGTCGAACTACCTTCTCGATGACATAGTCGCTGAACGCGATAAATATAAATTCCAAGATCACTTCCACACACATTTCCCGAATCAGCTGTTCGTTTTAGTTATTTTTAATCTAGTATTTATGCATATAATTATGAGTACTTTCTTCTTTAAATTAATTTGCAAGTTTCGTTAAACTTGAACACTAACACGCATTTCATTTTTGTATAACCCTGGACAATGTTTTGGTTTCGACTTGAATACTCAAAGCCTTTTTAGAAATTTGAATTATTTCGCAGCATATTGTTTTATAAACACTACATCGCATGTTTCATCTCCTGTATCTAATTTCCATAGCATCTTCTTTACCACTGTAACTGGTAGACTTTGTATAATTATGGGCAGGTTTTTTGTGCTAAGATTGTTTGTATGAATTTAATTAGTCTAAACGTCATCAACATAATGTTTTGATGCTTCCCTGACGCAGTACATTAGAAGGCCTCTAAAGTACTCTGGATCAGCAATATAAACAAGAGTAAATTCAGTTTATAACTAAGAAAAAACGAAACCAAATACACATGAAATGCTGGAACGGAAATTACACAGGGGGTATTACTTAGTTCGCCAGAGTTTCCGAGTCATTTAGCGATCTGTGACAGTTTTGCACAGCACTCATCTTTCACTGTTTTCACCTCTCTTTTCTTGTACTCTCCCCGTACACCAGCGCAGAGCAGCTGACCAGTGCAGCCTATATAATCAATCCGACCTCCTTTCATTCCTGCAATTAAATACTTATCTCTCTTCCTCTAAACGGTCGCACACACGACTGCAAACTTTTTCTTTTGGCGTAATTTTTGTTTTGTGCTTTATAACCTAATTAAAATTTACTTTGTAGGACCACAATGATGAACCAATAATCGCGTCGGAAATGTTCCTATGTTGTTTCCCTTCTTTGTAATCGATGTAATTGTCTCTGTATTTCCGAGATCCTTTCTTTCCCCATTTTTTCAGGCTATTTCACATCCCGGCATTCGTCATTGCAGAAGCGTTGCAAAAGAGATATACCGGCTGCTCGCCGATAGCCGTCATCGAATTGCACAGTTCTTTCACTGCAACACAAATCTGTGTGAAACAGTACACGTGGGGAATTCCCTCTGATATGATTTTGCTGATACGAAGGCTCTTGAGAGTGCTGCGAAAAATTTTTCTAGGCTTGAAGAGATGCCACGGAAATACCGAGTAGTATTCGAGCACCCAAATAAGAAATAACAAAATTGATTTCAAAACAAAATGAGCTATGGCTATTTATGTATTATTACTTGTATACGATATACGGCATATATGCACTAAACAATGATCTGTTCTTCTTACGGTGTGTTACATTTTGACTGCAAGAAGTATAACGACTGGCCACCGGTAATGGTTAAGTTGTCGCATATGAATTGTTTTTGGAATATATATTTCGTATGTGCGCGATTTACACCCGATATGTTTCTGTTCTGATCGAAATACATTGCCTTCGAAGTGTACAGATGCGTGGTGTCGGATGCGTATTCAGTTGAGCTAACCCTGGAGTACAAGCGTTGTTGGAGGTCTATAAACACTTCAATTCTTCAGCCTCGTAGATCACGGAACATCCGAATTTTTTAGCTCAAGCTTACTTCAATAGGTGATGTCCTGACACGTCGACGCAATATTTCTGAACAGGCGACGTGCATTTTTAGTTTTTCGAGAATGCCAGCATCTTTCGCTATGATCCTAGTCAAAGCACACGCCAGGGAAATTATACAAGAGATTAACTCGTCAAGCCACTAGCAGCTAGGAAGGGCGTAACTATTGAACGAGGGGGGGGGGGACTAAAAGAGTAGGTAATGATTTAGAGTACAGAGTACTCTACTATGGGAGAGCTTAGAGCCGTCCCACGGGCCTCAATGTCCGAAGCCGCACTACGAAATCCGCAGCGTGTTGTCGACTTGGAAGTAAACTCTGATCGTGAATGCCTATATGCTTTGTTACAGATCTTTAGGCAGACACATGTATTCGTCACTGGGTTTCGGTCAAAAACTTGAAGTCTCTAGTTAATTTCATCGGGGATTCAAACATCACTGCTAAGCCGAATGTGTTGCTTTAGGTAGTAGTGATGAACCTTTAACGTAAAATATGCTTACTGTTTGCATTAGCCCAGAAATAAAATTTACTTACGGTTAGACAGGACACCAATTATAGCGGAACGGTCTTTCACAGGCGAAGTGCAGGTGCGCCGGAATCCGGTTGGCGGAGCCAACATTTTCGCTCATACGTTGTAACCAACTACAGATTACAGTGCAGAACTGAAACGCTTCATAACACTATCGCCACTGCCGCTTTGTATGGTGCGCGTGTCTCGACGGGAAATTCGCGGTCACACGGAGGTTATCAATGAATCCGTTACGCGCCCTCGCGATAACTGTAATCTACCTCCGCAGCAGGCGAGTGGCGACCGTAACGAGCGTGAACCGGGTTACACTGGTCTGAGCGTGCGTGGCGATCACATGTCACACGTCGTACACGGAGGCCACGTGCCTTTTATACTGCTGAGAGAACGGTATCTGTGGGAAGCAGAATAACGGACGCCGTAAACAGCCGGGGGTTACAGTCGTCTGACGTGTGCTTGAAGTGAGCAAGTTAGTCCCCCCTCCTTCGCGCCCACTAGCGAAAAGCATCCGGAAACAGATTTTTTGGGAAGTGCAGCAGTCACCCGCCGGATTATCTCGCTGGATTTCGTGCTGACCGGTTGGTTGTGCCCCCGCGATCTCCGACGACAGCGCAGCGCTGGTCGATTGGTTCGGCCTACGCCATCTCCTGACGCCGACAAGAGCTCTCGCCGAGTGGTGCCCCGTCCTCGCACTCTTGCGACCGTGTCCATGTTTCCGATCTCCTTGTTTCTGTGTGTGGGTCTCTCTGTCCCTGCCCTTATCTCTATCTCTATCCCTTTTATACCTCCCTATCCCTTTTAATCCCTCCTTACCCCCCTCCCTTTTGAGTCACTGTGGAGGTGTCGCACTACGATGCAGAAAGTTACGGGGCTCTCACTTTTATCCCCTTTTCTCTCTTTTAAGAATCACTCCCCCTCCCCACCGGCGAGGCTTAACTTAAACGGGAGGTTGACGAAAATGTCTACGAATTTATCTAGGAGAAAGGCGAAGACATTTTTTTTTTTGTAACTAGGTGACGAAGCTGGTTTATCGAAAAACGAAAGAATGACTGCGCGCTTTCGTTCCAACTGTAACAATGGTTGTTGGAATGTTAAGTCCAGAAGCCTTCATAAGATTATGGGGACACGCTATATAGTGGAGACCTCTAAGAATTTCCACCTCCAATAGTCCCTTAACGTGCACCTAAATAAAAGCACACGGGCTTCTAGCATGCCGCCTACAATGAGGCGCTGCCGCGGCGCACTGCAGGGATTCGATCTCGAGACCTTCGGGTCGTCAGTCGAGCAATATAACCACTGGACCACGGAGGCGAGTAAAATATCCCTTCCAGCCCAACCATATAAAAGCACTGAAAGTTTGCGAGTTTTGTCGTGCACGGATGACTATCACTGCGTGTAGACGACGACATAAAACGCGAAAGACAATAATTTTATCTCCCAAAGCAGCTTCAGAAGTCGCCGTGTATGTTGAGCAATGAAAACGGGGTTGCTGTGGTGAGACAACTATATGGCACAATAAAATTGTATATTGCCGAGCTCGAAAGGACGTTTTCGGTTTATGGACACTAGGGGAAACGTGCAATTCACACTTTTCTTTTTCTTCAGTGTCGTGTTGCATTGCGTCCCGCCGCGGTAGTCTAGTGGCTAAGGTACTCGCTGGTCG